TGTTTGTTGTATATGTTAAACACACAAAGGAGATAGGATAGCAGTGTCCTTTATGAAACATTTAGCCTTTTCTAGATATTGAGTTTCAAAGAAACCCATTGAAGTGGCACGTTCAAGGTTCAACGTATATACATGATCTTCTGTATGTGTGTGTGTATACGTACGTGCGCATGTTAGCCCGGAGTAATGCCCGATTTGAAGTATCTACATTAGTCAGTTGCCATGGAGACGTATACGGTAATCACCTCACCTCACCAAAGCTCACCTCTATTCACGTCAAACCACCTTGCATCAAATCACCTCCAATCACCTTGCATCAAATCACATCAAATCACCTCAAACCACCTTACCTAAAATCACCTCACCTCAAATCACCGCAAATTCTCCTCTATTCACTTTACCTCAAATCACCTCACCTCAAATCACCTCACCTAAAATCACCTCACCTCAAATCACCTCACCTAAAATCACCTCACCTCACCTCAAATCACCTTACCTCACCTAACCTGAAATCACCTCAAAACACTTCAATTCACTTTACCTCAAATCACCTCACTTCACCTCACCTCAAATCACCTCAAAACACTTCAATTCACTTTACCTCAAATCACCTCACCTTGAATCACCTCACCTTGAATCGCATCACATCGCGTCAAGTACTGAGGATGAATTTAATTGCTAGGATTGTTATTGTTTGACGTTAAAAAGAGAGGAAATAAGAAAGGTACATAGCTGTTCTTATTGAGCAGCAGTGCTGAACACGAGTTGCAAATAAATCAACCGACCCATGAATATGGAGCTCTCCTGCAAAACATGTTGATACCAGCCAGCTATAAATATCCACACCAAGGAGTTAAGTTAATCTATTCAAATATACAGTACATTGAAGTCATGATGTAGATAATGCATGGTAAGCCGACAGTAAGTATATAGGCTTACAGGATAGATTTCGGAAGAACAAAGGCGCATGTCTCACTGTCTATGCATGTAAGAATAGGTGAGGTGAGGTGAAGTCAGGTGAAATGGAGTTTAATGTCGTACTTAACATCATTTCGCTCGTATGGCGACGTGCATGCGTGTGTATGTGTGGCTGCTTGTAATAGCCAAGACTTAAGCTGGTTTTATAGTGCTAGCTCACTGAGATACCATGCCGCAGTTAAGCATGGAAACTCCACTCAGACACATTATACTGACTCCGAGCCGACCAGTCCTTGTTGTACCCATTAATGCCGGACCAAGAAGTACCATATTTTATACCATGTTTTTCGAAATCGACCGTTTGTGTGTTCGTGTGAATGTACATGTGTGTGCGTGCGTGCGTTGAGGGGAAGGGGAGATTTTGTGTTTCAATGTAACATGTATTCAGAGCTTCCTTTTTCGGAAATATCTTCGTTTGACATAGGAGTTATTATTTCTTATGTTTAAACCGTCAGTACCAGGACAGTGGACTGAGACCGACCCCGTGGTGTCTTGGAAAGACCGCCTGGCTGGTGAGTCTAGAGTCGGTGGTTGTATCCCCCGGTCTCGTCAAACCAACTAAAGTTAAGGAAGGTACTTGTTGTTACCGTTCCTGGCAGTAGGCATTAAGGGAATAAAACAAGGAATGGCGGCTTTACAGTGTCTGAGAGGGATATACACAACGGTCATATCGAAATCAGAAGGATTAAATTTAGTTCGTCATAACCGTATTTATATTTATATTTATTAATTTTTATTTATATTTATTAATTAGCTTGTGGGAAGTATGGAGCAATATTGGTGGCCATGGTATATTTATTACACCTGATGTTAATAATCTATATCCCTAATGTTTGCGGATGATATTTCCTCAGTCTCGGATACTGCTTTCCAGCTTCAGAAGAAGATTCATGGTCTTGAGATTTTTTGTCAACTCACTGGTATGAAGGTCAATATTGAAAAGACTGAAGTTATTGTTTTCAGGAATAGTGGGCCCCTTAGACAGTATGAAAAGTGGTTTCGTTATGGTCAAAGGCTGGAAGTTGTTTCATACTTCAGGTATTTCGGTATTGTGTTCACTCCTAGGCTGGTTTGGAATATAGCTCACACTACTCTTGCTTCTCAAGCCAATAAAGCCTTTATGGCTATCTATATATACCCAAAAAGAGTAGTTTATCTGTCATGTGTGGATCTTTTTAAAGTATTTGATGTTATGGTTAAACCTATTGTTTGTTACGGTTCAGAAATGTGGGGGCGTTATCCATTGTAAAATAATTGAACAAATCCAGATGAAAACATGTAAATATTTCTTAAAAGTTGGTAAATATACATGCAACAATATGGTTCTTGGTGATAGTGGCAGGTTCCCTCTTCAACCTACTTATATGTCAAGGGCAGTTAAATATTGGAAGGGCTGGATATTGCCCCGATTTTCATATTGCGATATATTGCAATAATTTAAGAGATATTGCAATACATATTGTGATATATTGACTGGAAGGTTTCTGCCAACGTGCGTACATCATACATTCATAATAGCTCTCTGTGTGCGACATCATCTTCTCCGTTGCTGTTCCACCATACTTTCAGGCTCCCCGTCCCCATTGTGTATGGCTGTATGCCAATCGTTTACAGATAAATACAATGATATAGAGCCTTAATGTCGAATATACTGTACCAACGTTTTGAGAACATGATGATAAAGGTAATAGTATAACATGATTTTCATAGTCAGTATTGTTTGTTTAAACAGAATGCACTTCAGTGCAGTATGTAATTATTGTTACTGTATGTGATTCATTCAGATTCAATGTGTTAACATGAACTATTGCCAAATGAAACAAAAACAAGATTCAATTGAACTACTTGAGATTACCATCGCATGTGACCTCCAATAGCTAAGATCCTTGACTGGAATGTCATTATACAGTCCTACATTTTTTTCTCAGACTTAGGCCTGTAGGATAAATTGATGTCATATGTCCCATTATGAAACAAACAAAAATAACCAAATACTGTGAACTGTGAAATGGTCACTCAGAAGAAGAGGCTCTACTAATAGGTCCAAATAAAAATTGGTCCATTTGAGGCCACTAAATTCCCCCAAACTATTCAAACCCACAAAACGTAAACTATTGGCAATTTTGGAGCCATTTATAATGACACTTCCACTTGTAAAATGTTACAAGAAACGAACTGAAATAAGTATATTTGGCACTTTTAGAGCACATTTGTTTGCTATGGAAATCAAGGGCAGATAATTCAAATGAACTAACTCTGGATGAACCAATATATTGCAGAATCTGAACCATATCGCGATAATCGTATCGCGAGATACTGTACCGGTATACCGGTTTACCGGTAATATTGCACAGCCCTAAACATTGGTGTAGACATTTAACTCTTGCAAGTTGTAGATTACTTCATCAGTTTTATTTAATGTTTAAGTCTTTGGATGAATCTGGTCGGACGACATGGGCATCTCATATCAAGAATATTTTATTTAGATTTGGGTTTGGCTTTGTTGGAGATATTTGAGATATTTATGGTTTCATTTCTGTTTTAAAGCAAGGAATATCTGATAACCTTTCACAAGATTGGTACTCATCCCTACATTATACAACCAAGTGTTCTAATTATATACTTTTCAAGTCCCTCTTGAATGTTGAAACTTATCTCAGATTAGGTATTGCCCCATATTTAAGAAATTGTTTAACAAAATTTAGATGTGGTAAATTTAAACTTAGTTCTGAGACCGATAGATATAACAATGTCCCTTATGATCCAAGATTCTGTCCTTTTTGCCACAAAATTAATATTTATTTAATTGAAGATGAAATACATGTATTACTTTATCGTAAAGCCTACCTAGATAGGGATAAGTTTCTGGATAAATATTTGAAACATCCTATTTCACAACACTGCTTTATAAACATAATGACTTCAACAAACATAAATGTTATAAATAATTTGTGCCTATTTTTATATAATGTTGGGAAAATAAGAGATTCTGATGTTTTTATGTAAAACGCATGTAACTTCTTATCATATCTATGAATGTATTTTGCGCCAGTGGCCTATTACTGAATAAAATGTCTGTCTGTCTTTATATTTATATTTATATTTATATTTATATTTATATTTATATATCATCATCCAATATCCAGATCACCTGCTCAATGGTGCTTTTTCACTATAATATACAGAAAGTGGTCGAGACCAAAACCTAGCTTGGTATATCCGTCAATTCATTATGAGAGAGGTCGGTATAAACGTTGTTTATTGTACCCGTTGAAGTAGTATTGCCCATGAGCTAGCAGTATAAAACCCGGTTTAATTCGGGAACAGCAAAACACACGACCATGCACGTCAATACTTCTCTCAATCTCAATCACCGAAGCCGGCGATGAATAATAATATACATACTCCTTTACCCTCAAATATGTCATCAAAGATAGCATCAAGGTGTCTGCATTTCAATATAGAAATATTTGTTGCAATGTACTCGCAAAAATATAATGCAAAATACGATTTACAGAATTGACGGTCTTAGGTTTTTAAAACAGGTGAGAGAGAAAGAAAAAAAATTGATCAAGTTGGTGAGTTTGAAATAAAGTGAGTGAGTGCCGCTTTTAGCAATACTCCAGCAATATCACGGGGACACCAGACATTTGCTTCACACATTGTACCTATGTGGGGAATCAAACCCAGGTTTTCGGCTTGACGAGCGGATGTTTTAACCACTGGGCTATCCAACCTCCCCCTTTTGAATAAGAGACTGAGAGAGTGTGTAGAAAGAGTAACGAAAGAGAGGAACAAGCGAGAGATTGTAAGAAAGAGATGGGGATAGATTCTGACGTCTCCTACTAAACAAGTCCTCTCATTTCCATGTGCACTCTCTGACGTCCGCGCGAGTTTTATAGCTGTACAGACCTAGCATTCTGATTGGTTGACAGGCACATTGACGGATGGGAAGTGCGTGACGCAAACGACCATTCCATCACGTTTCACAGGGAGGTACAGAATATACATACACATATATATATGACAACAGTTTGTCCTTTTAGTTGAGAACGAACTTGTCGCTGAGAAGGGTATTGGTAAGTGAGTATTCTACATCAATGTTTACTAACACTTTCGTATTTGCCTTGCATTGTCATCGTCGTTCACGAATGAGCCCATGTGCATACGCTTTCTCATGTGATAGTATTTTTCAGTAGTTGTATTCCATTTCATAGAAAATGGTCTTGTATTTTCTCTTTCATAAGAATCAGCATGATGTTGGTTACATGAGGAAAGAGGTTACGGAATCACATTGCTTCTTTATTTGAACTTGATTGGTTATTGAAACGATAATTGAATATGTTGTTAAAGAATTTTTTTCACTTTTTTGTTAACTGTTGGACGAAAGATGTTATGCTTAAAATTGGTTAATGCTATAATATTCGTCTTTGTTTGATGAACTTTAGCTACTCTTGAATAACTTGGAATTTATGCATGATATCCTGAAGACAGCAGTCATGGTAATTTTGTTCTAAAAACTCATGTAATTCCCAAATATATAACTAGTCATGAAACTAGCCAATCCTAACACGCATATATGTTTGTCCTTTAGTACTTGTTAAAGGTTGCCAACAGCACTTTCGTATATCACTTTCATTATACATATATTTTGGTTTGTTTGTTTGTTTGTTTGCTGTCTAACGCCGCACTCAGGAATATTTTATTATATGTAAATAATCGGGTCTGGACAAGATAATCCAGTGATCAACAGCATGAATACCGATCTAACCAAGTGGGACACGATGACATGTGTCAACCAGGTCAGCGAGTCTGACCATCCGACTAGCATGGGTTTGCGACAGGCATGGGATCCGTATTTTCACGGGGTTTTGGTGTTACCTGAATAGCAATTCCCACCCATGGGATTTCTGTGATTATAGTACAAAAGGAATCGTTGATCACTGGCTTGTCTGGCCTCTGCCATGTAGGTAGATCAGAATGTTGCTAAAAGCGGCGTTAAACAACAAACAAACAAAACGAATCGCGATGTCATAACACCATTGCATCGCATTGAACCAACACGACATGCGGGGCGGTGGAATAGTCTAGTGGTTATAGCGTTGGCTTGTTACGCCGAAGACCAGGGTTCGATTGCCGACATGGGTACACTGTGTGAAGCCAATTCCTGGTGTCCTCCGCCGTGATTTTGCTGGAATATTGCTAAAAGGGGCGTAAGACTATGCTCACTCACTCACTCACTCACTCACACTAAACAGCATGCATCACTGACAATGCTACACGGCCGTTGATGAAGCTGTACCATTTCTGACTGTGGTGTAACAGACGTCTCGTGGGTATTCCTCGACGTTAATGAGATGTGGTGTAGCCCAGTGATTAAAGCATTAGCTCGTCGTTTGAAAGACCCGGGTTCGAATCACATAATGGTGCAAAGTGTGATGAACCCGGATGTATCTAGAATTTGGGTTAAACCCATTCTGACTTGCTGAGTGGTCACGATTAAGGCTGGAGATGTAAATTCACAAAGTTAAAACGACAGAGGATTAGTTGTCTTTAATATCTGACGAAACAAATTTGATATGAAAAGCAATCGACTTTTGGAAATTATTTAAATGGATAACTGAAGAATTTGTCCCACTCAGCAAAATTCCATCTATATGGCGTTATGACACTGAATAGTATCATTTGAACTGCGACTTCGGGAATTATGGCAAAAGACGCATAAAAGCTTAGACTTCGTGAAAACATAGTATACATTCCTGATTAGGACGGTGGATTTAAATGAAAGAAACAAGAAATGGTTATCCGATGAAAATGTTTTTGACGGTATCGTTGGAGGTATAACAATATGACGCAACAGTAACGTTTCCAAAGTGAGAGATACTGAGTGAGAGAGAGTGAGAGAGAGAGAGGGGGGGGGACTAGAGAGGAGGGAGAGAGTGTAATTCCTGTTCGTCTATGTGCGTTTCAGTATTTAAAAAGCCTTGTTCAACTTAGCCGAACTAACAACTAACATGGCGGAAATGATAACTGTCGTTAACGTAAGGAAATGCTGCAGCCATCTGAATATTTGAAAATGTACCACAGGTTAATTAATAAGAGTTATATTGTTAAACAACCATTTCCATTAACGCATAAGGTAAAAACAGTCCCCTTCATTTAAAATGGAATGAATCAATAAAAAGTAAAGCTTTACCTTTGTGGCTCCGAACCAAGAGGTACTGGGAAAATGGGCAACTTGGGTCTCTCGGAATTCTTGAAGAACGTCAATCTGTTAACAAATGCTGACAAGTTCATGTCTTTGAGTGTCATTTTTAGAAGTTGGGAAGTACAATACTGAAAAGTGTAACAACTTCTTTTATTCTGTGAGTGTGACGTTTCGACACAGACTCTTGTACCGTTGATTATTGAACCATTTCAATGCATGGAAACGTCACACTTTGAACAGAAGAAGTTGTAATCCATGCATGCATGAGTATTCTGAGTTACGTTGGAGTCTATCCTAGTTTTGTGGTTTCATCAGGGTCGATCACGGTTGATGCATGGTAAAGTAAGGATATTACCTCATATTTGAAGTTATTAATTAGTTATTATATTATAATCATGCATATGCAACTTGTGACTTGTGACACCACTTTGCTCAAATTGTAATTGTTTCTGTGAGGATAAAATGTATATCATGGTAGCAAGCAGTGTAATTAGGAGATAAACATACCTAGTTGGAAAATCAGAGGTATATAGCGAAATTATAATGGCTCTAAATTTGATTTAAAGCTGAACGCGTAGCGTGAGAGAAAATCAGAGGTATATAACGTGATTATATACCTCCGAATGACTATGATTAACCAATCACAATCCAGTATTTACTGAAGTCATGGTAGAATAGTTGTTTTGGTCAGGTGTATACTGACCAAAGTAATGGCATGCAACAACTTTTTTAAGATTATGTATTAAAAGTATATTTTAAAAAAACACCTAGAAGCCCCGGTGGCTGAGTGGGTTAGATAGCTGACTTTGAGTTCTGGCGATTAGGCGCTTGACTCTGAGAGTGCGGGTTCTAACTCCGGATGGGATTCAACAAAAGTACTAGAATCTGTACTTTACTAAGAAAGTGTTATCCTAAATATAATATTACCAAATCAAGTGATTAACACTGTGAGCGTCGAATCAGGTAATTGTGTTGCAATGACGTCAAAGAAACATGTCACCCAATAATTGGATTTTCCGCTGACTTGGTTAACACATGTCATCGTATCCCAGTTGCGTCCAGATCGATGCTCATGATATTGGTCACTGGATTGTCTGGTCCCCCAACGAATAGAATCTGTACTTTACTGACAAAGGGTAATCCCCAATATGGCATATGTTACATTAGACCACTGTCTAAATGACTAAATGTATTCATAGATATTCTACGTCAAAACAAAATACATATTTTGCTCCAAGTGTTATTAACGTTATTTTCTCGTCAAACAATTATTAATGTTTGTTCGAGGTTTTATCTTTCGAATGAGTTGAGGGTGCCCGACACAGTGTTATTAGCCTGTATGAAAGTTGTGTGACTGAAGGCTCAAATTACTGTCACGCAGCCCTTAGGCTGACTGATTGCTGTCACGTTCGTGAGAGGTACGTGACAATGACCTATTGTGTTTTGCCCGTTCCGTCTTGAGGCGATGACATAGAGAGAGACCTCGTGTGTCATAGAAGACAAATGTGACCTAATCTTAGCTAATATTGACATGTAAGTCCCCATCTAGTTATAGTGAGTGAGGGAGTGTGTTTATCACCCATGGAATACTTCTGTTACACTTTCGCTCGGTGCACTGGGATAACAGTCATCAGTTTTGTGTAACAAACTCGGAAAGAGATCAAGTGTCGTACTCAGTGTGAACGAGGTAGGACCTAACGATATCGGTCATCGTAAAAGCTATGTATAGAACAATACCGATGTATTGGAGCAGGTTGTTTCTGAGTGTAACTGGAAATATCGATACCCTCAACGAGAAGACACATACGTCCGATATTCGCACTCTTATGCTGTGTTTGCTTGTGTGTTCTTAAACGCCGCACTCAACAATATTCCAGCTGTATCGCGGCGGTCTGTAAGTAATTGTGTCTGGACCAGACAATCCAGTGATCAACATCATGAGCGGTATTTTTGGCATACTGTCCGTGGCGTTTTGATATACAATATTTTGTTTGTTTGTTTCTTTGTTAACCGCACTGAGCAATATTCCAGATATATCACAGCGGTCAGTATATAATTGACCACCCTATACCGGTAGTCGCCTCTTACGACAAGCGTGGGTTGCTGTAGAACAATTCTATCCCGAATCCTCAAGGGTTTACAGGCCGTGTCAAACACCAATATGTCTAGAATTGTAAAATATCGGAAACTTTGAAAATTACTAACAAATACTGTGTTCCATTGTTCCCATAAATAGTAAAAAATAGTTGAATTTAGTCACACAAAATAAATATATAACTGGGGTCCAGAAAGTCACACCATACACAGGATGAACCATGACTGTGCATGCTGTCTTCAGAAGCTGGCTTCGTTGAATATGCATGATGAGGTCATTGGTTATTTAGTATATTAATTGTTTGTTAGCATTTTTAACATTGTTGAGACGATGATTCTTAAACATTGTTTATGTTGAAACAGATTGTAAGACAACGGCCACAAGATGGTTCTTCACGCAATTACAGCCCTGTTGTCCCTTGGACTCTGCTATGGCATGGGTAAGTTAATTTTTTACTAAGAGCATATATTATATGATATTTATATAGCGCACATAGCCACGTTACAAGTACATGCTCAAGGCGCTGGTATTTCCCTCGATCACTGGATGTCAATCTCAACGGTACATCGTATTATCAATCTCAACTCCACAGGGAGTATACAACTCTTGCAGACACTTTTACAGAGTTTTACGGCTTTCTCATCCTAACGAGGTACCCATTCACAGCTGGGTGGACTGGGACACATAGTCACAGTACTTTGTCCAAGTTTACTGCACGTTGCTGTACCCGCAACTAGGTGTTTGCACGTATACATGTGGCCACCATCTGGTCATATACCAACGGATTCGTGGGTTCTTTTAAGTGCACAGGGTTGTGTACTGTACACTAGGGGTTGTGACAACACTGAAAGAGTCTGCACACAAAGTTGACTCCAAGGTTTTTACACCCGGTCACAGGTGGGCTCGATCCCGCCACCTGAAGCTCATTGGATCACTAACCTGGCGCTTTAGCCAGCTCGCCCACCGCACCCCCGCCTATGCATGTGCTTGTGATGGGAGCCGCCGATGGGGCAGCAAGCACTCACCTTTCTGCGAAAACGTGATATCATCAATTGTATAGTTATGGATTATTTTGTCACTTATATGTCTTCTTCCCAACACATTCTGGTGTCCCCCCGCCGTGATATTGCTGGAATATTGCTAAACGCGGCGTAAAACCATACTCACTCACTCACTTCTTCCGAACAGCTCTAACTGGCATAACCCGTGAAGATCCGGGTCAGGATGAATCTTCAGTCACCCATGCTTGTCGTAAGACGGAATCGGGTGGTCAGACATGTCATCATATCACAGTTGCGTATATCGATGCTCGTGCTGTTCATCACTGGATTGTTTGGTGCAGACTCGATTATTTACAGGCCGACGCCATATAGCTGGAATATTGCTCAGTGCGGCGTTAAACAACAACCAACCAACTGGCATATATCAGGATTCAACTACTACTGTAAATGAAAAAATGATGTTTAGAAGTAAAGTGAGTGAGTGAGTGAGTGAGTTTGTTTAGAAGTAAAGAGTTCTTGGGACTATAACTGAAAATATATATTTCTTCCATGCTAAAATGTTTCAATGAACAAGGCGAAACAGTAATATGACATGACATGACATAAAGTAAGAAAGGACAACTGCAAAACATGGATTTGTCTTTTTCAGCTCCCTCGGGTAGCACCTCCAAACCCGCGGTCTACAATGGAGCAGGAGCACAACAAAGCCTCTTCCCCGGACGGCAAGCACATCAACCAAGAGTTGGCCTCTTCCCACAGCAACAACAACGAAATCCTTCCTACCTGAGTAGGGAGTCCTATGGCTCATCACTCTTCGACCCAAACATGTTCCCTGTCGCTCATGCTCCTGTGGGTCAACAACTCGGTCTTCTCGGGCAAGCCGTAGCTGGAACCAGTGGTGGACAAACGAACGCAGGCACAGGCAATCAGAACTTGATGAGGTCAATCATGCAGAACACAATGACCGGCAGACTAATGGGATTGGACAACCAGGAAATTGCTCACCTGAATTCGGTTCGTACCCTAGGTGTAGGACGCGCCAACATCGACCGTCTGTTGAAGATTGACCAGATACCTTCCTACAACTACTATCTGGCCCTCAAGAACAAACCAGCTCAGTTTGCCAAAGCTCAGACCTATCTCATGACCTTGAACAGGCTGGAGAATAGCGCTACGGATGCTCAGCTGGAGACCATGGGACTGAGGATGATGATGCAGAGAAACCAGGACCCCGATATCGTCAGGATGTTGGAACTGGACGCAGCTAGGGGAGTGTACGGCGACCGATTGCAGAGAGCAATCGTGCGTAAAAACCGAATGTCTCTGTTTGGATAATTAAATTAATCTGTAAACTAAATGCATAGATATGATGATGGTGATGATGATGATGATCATAGCCCTGTATGCGTGTTTCGATTTCTTTTCTGTCTCTATTTATACATATGTCTCAGCCGTTCTAACATCAGCGCAGGGTCGATTATTCAGGGTGTTTGAAGATATCATGTTAACGTTGGGTGTGTAATAAAAGATAAATGAGTTTTTGTCTCGGTAATTTTGTTTTGGATTCAGTGTATGAGTGAGTTCGTGACTTCATTCGTTCATCAGCGAGTTCATCAGCGAGCGCACTGTTCACTCCACCCACCCACCTTTCCTGTCCTTTCAAACACTTCATTTCCCAGCCTCGGGGACCGCCTCCGTGGTATAGTGGTAAGAGCGTCCGCCCAGAAAGCGGAAGGTCGTGGGTTCGATCCCCCGGCCGCGTCATACCAAAAGACGTTAAAATATGGTACTTGTTGGTCCCGGCCTGGCGCTCGGCATTGATGGGTACAACAAGGACTGGTCGGCTCGGAGTCAGTATAATGTGTCAGACTGGGATATTCATGCTTCACTGCGGCATGGTATCTCGGTGAGCTAACACTAAAAAAAATAACTTAAGTCTGGGCTAGTACAAGCAGTCACATATACCCACGCATGCACGTCGTGTATCAGCGAAATATTCTTAAGTACGACGTTAAATCCCATTTCCCCTCACCTCACCCAGCCTCGGTCTGTATATATAATCTGGACCAAACAATCCAGTGACCAATTTTATGAACATCGATCTACGCAACTGGGATACCACGACATGTGTTAACCAAGTCAGTGAGCAATCCAGTGATTGGGACACGATGACATGTTGCTTGACGTCATTGCAACACAATTACCTGATTCGACGCTCATAATGTTAATCACATGATTTAACATAATGTTATATTAGGATAACGGTTTCTTAGTAAAGTACAGATTCCAGTACTTTTGCTGGGTTTAGTCCCATCCGGGATTCGAACCCATACCCTCAGGCACCTAATCGTCAGCACACAAAGTCAGACGCCTAACCCGCTCAGCCACCGCGGCTTTCACAAGTGCAATCCCAAATATAACATATCTTACAGTCCGTTTGAGTCAGAAACGGACCGATGAATTGCAAATTTTATCATTGTACAACATTGCCACAGAAATATTAATAGTAAACATGTTTATTATTTACCCAACAGCTTTCTGATATTTGAACATTTTCCGGACTCCAACAAAAAAGTTGTTTAAGAAACTATCATCATTGAAAACGCAAAAGTTGTTATCCGTCGCGGCGGGGTGAAACCGCAGAAACGGAACAGCCAGTCATGGCGGGTGACATCTCAAAATCTATCCCGGGAGACCTGTCGGTTCCTCGTCTGTCGTAGTGTCATAGTCACGACTGAAAGGGATGACAAGTGGTGCCACAGTTGCCTGTTGTAAGTCATCCCGAGGCCAGTTACCTTGTTCAATGACGTTAGCTACCTTGTTGACACAGTTTTGCCAAGTTTCAGTCGTGATTTTGTTAAGGGATTCCTTAACCAAAACCTCTACGTCACGTAATCTAAAAGTTGTGTTTGATCTGGCAACATCGCCTTTGACAATACCCCATATCATTTCAATGGGGTTAAGGTCACAGTGATAGGGTGGAAGTCGCAGAATATCGTGACCCTTACTTTTTATGTAACTGTCAACTTTGTAGAAAGGTTCACCTTTGTGGGTTTTTATGATCTCATTTAGCTGAGGCTTCGTTGCCTTTGAAGGCCGTGCGATCTGAAATTTGTCGAGCCATGATATCATATCACCTTTTCGACTGTTCGATGTCGGGGCTTTACTGTCGGGGTCCTGCACGCTGTGATATGGGGCATTGTCCAATACGATAAAAGACTTCTCAGGTAGAGCTGGTACCAACTTGTTTTTAACCCAATCGAGGAAAACCGCATCATTCATCTTGGAATGGTAGTCTCTGTTATCTGTGGACTTTGCCCTGAATACCATGTCGCAGCCTGGGAGAAAGCCTTTGCTTGAGCAACCAGCATGGAGAATGATTAGTCTCTCTCCTTTCCCTTGAGGTCAGCTTTCTACGTGACCCCTTATCACCCCAATCGGGTACCCACTGACTGCTGGCAGTGTGCGAGGCAGTGACCCAGGTCTTGTCCAAGTACACTGGCTCGAACCCTTCCTCGCGCTTCTTCTTTATAACCCTGAGAAAATTAATTCTCAAGTGAACGATATCAGGGCGTTCACAGAGTACTGACCTATTCTCCCCCGAAATTTTCTGATAACGATACCCGAAAGAGTGTAAGAGTCTCCAGAGTGTGTACTTTGATACTCTGAGGTTGTGTTCTTGCTTCAAATGCTTTTTTAAAATTGTCAGCGACATGCATTTGTTTTCAGAATAGAGCTTGTTGACAGACTGCCTTACAAGGTTCTTTTGAAAGTTGTCCAAATGTATTAATTTGTGTGATTTTGACACGACCCCTACCTGCTTCGCATCACCCTCACAATGTTTGTGTTCCAGAACATTTGTCAGTACCCTTGCTGATACTCCTAAAGCTTTTGCTGCCCGCTTACGGAATTTATTAATGGCATAAAATGGTTTGCCCCTTTCGGCTTCTGCACAGAAAAAAATCGTACACTTTAATCATCAACTGTTTCACGTCAGCATTCAACTTCATTTTTCATCAGGCATGTGTATCCCGTGCACGACGAGATAGTGGCTGTTCTGCGGTTTCACCCCGCCGCGACAGATAACAACTTTTGCGTTCTCAATAGGTCACATGCAACCAAAAAATCAAACATAATTAAAACACAATTATCACTTATTCATGACATATAATATACATTGCTGGTTACGAAAAAATATATAAGCAAAATTATAAGCGTACAATCGCAAATCGAAAGTGCAAAATTGTGTACTTCGGTTCACTTCCCCAGGAACGAAGCAGCCGGGATACCGAACCCAGTCAGAGCGGGTGGGTGTGCACTCAAGTGTAACGGCTGGTTCATTTGCAGATGCCCTCACGGCTAATTGTGTGTATATATAGAGAGAGATGTTGGGTTTTGTAAATACGTGCGGGGGGCGGTGGGGTAGCCTAATGGTTGAAGCGTTGGCTCGTCACGCCGAAGACCCGGGTTCGAATCCCCACATGGGTACAGTGTGTGAAGCCCATTTCTGGTGTCCCCCCGCCGTGATGTTGCTGGAATATTGCTAAAAGCGGCGTAAAACCAAACTCAGTCAGTCAGTCAGTGTAAATACGTGCTCATTTTTTGTGTATAACATTTTGCAATCAACAGACATCATAACATATCATGTGTTCAAGTATCACACCTGCCTGTCTGTGTAATTACATAATGTGACAGAGACCGAACTCGGGCCATAAATCAATGCATTTTGTTTATGGTGTATAGCCTGATTGGTGTTAAGTTCAAATCGCTTGTGGTCAGTGATAGCAGCTGTGTATTGAATATTGTCATTAGCAGACAGGCAGGCAGACACACAGGTGTCAATAAAACAAGACATTGAGTTTTGTCTGTGACAACGACATATCTATATCACAGTTAGAAATTCTGTCAACGCTAAATAATGACATTGCTTTTAAGTATCGAACTGAGAAAGTTTCTCGGTAAGAAGAACGTGTGGTGAAATAGACAAATGAAATTATATAAACAGTTAATTTACTGTCATAACATATAAAAAAGCTCGCGCCTGTGGGATATCAACAAAACATTAGAAAAATAGCTCACACCAAAGCCTTCACCGAGTATTCACCCGACAACCCGCTTCCAAGCTGCGCGAACCTATTTACTTGCGCACGTGCTATGAGCGCTGCCCAGCTGTTGAAACCCGTTTTCCCCAGAAAAGTCTGGGGAAAATTAGTGAAACGTTTGAACTCAGATTTCGCGCATTTTTTTTCATCCCGTTATTTTTGAACTTTATAAGTTGAATTTGCATTTTTGACGAATTGTTTCGGTATGTCCATACCGAAAGGTATCAGAATCTGCAAAGTTGTGTTTTACGTTGCATGTGACCTTTAAACAACTTTTTTGGGTGGAGTCCGGAAAATTTTCAAATATAAGAAAGCTGTTGGGTATTAGTAAATGATAAACATGTGTACTATTTATATTTCTGTGGCAATTTTGTACAATGATAAAATTTGCAATTCATCGGTCCGTTTCTGACTCAAACGGACTGTACATTTGACAACTTTCTAAATGGCATTGTGTATTCAATCACTGGATTGTTCGGTCCCGACTCAATTCATTTACAGACCGCCGTCATATAGCTGGAATATTCCACACTGAATGCTGGCAGAACAGATAGTGAGTGGCTGAGTTTAGTTTTACGCCGCACTCAGCAATATGAGCGGCTATATGGCGGCGGTCAGTAAATAATCTGGACAGTAAATAATTCTGGACCAGACAATCCAGTGATCAACAGCATAAGCATCGATGTACGCAATTGGGATACGATGGACAGAACATAAAAACTCCAATCAATACAGGTAACAGAACCATGGACGAAAGTATGGAAGTATGAGTATGGTTATACGCAGTTTTCAGAGAGGGACAGCAGAATTGGGTTCACACATTGCACCCTTGAACAATCGCAACAGACGAGTGAGTGAGTGAGTGAGTGAGTTTTACTCCGCACTCAGCAATATTCCAGCTATATGGCGGCGGTCTGTAAATAATCGAGTCTGGACCAGACAATCCAGTGATCAACAGTATGAGCATCGTACTGCGCATGTGGGATACGGTGACACCACCCGATCCCGTTAGTCTCCTCTTACGACAAGCATAGTCGCCTTTTGTGGCAAGCATGGGTTGCTGAGGACCTATTCTACCCCGGATCGCAATGAACGAATGCTCGTTCAATTCGTTTATCTTGCTCTCTCTCACGCCAGTACACATGCCTCTCCAATAATAATATTTTTTTAATAACATAGATGGTACTAACTGAAGAGCCAAATGTGAAAGTTGCACATTCAAACTCATTGATAGTTGAAACTTATTTCATTTTATAGAGTAAATGCTTGTAATATTTCTTTACTTTTAAGCCGACTGTTTAGGTACCATTTTTCGCTTTCTGGAGGTACCCACATTTCAGATCATTCGCCACCACTCGTCCATTTCCGCAACCTCCAAGAAGATGGTCGGCTTGTCCCGGAATAACCCGAGTTGTTCACGATTCCAGATGTGTCTT